AAGTCAGGAAAATATTTCAACACAATGTTCCTATGAATTCTTCATTTGTCTTGTGTTCATCGATCATGAAATGAACTCGAAATATTAGCTTGAAATTGAGGGGCATGTTTGAATAGAATCCTGTTATGAATTCTGCACTTGTCTTGTGTTCATTGATGATGAAATGAACTCGAAGTCTTAGCTGGGAATTCAGGAGAATTTTTAAAGGAAATCTTTTTATCAATGATTCATGTGCCATCCATTCATCGATCATGAAATGAACTAGATATCTTAGCTTCGAATTCAGCAGAATATTCGAATAAAATCTTGATATGAATTCCTCAATTATCTTCTGTTCATCGGTGAGGAATTGAACTCGAAATCTTAATATGCAATTTTCGAGAATATTGGAACATATTCTTGTTATGAATTCTTCATTTCTCTTCCGTACATCGATCATGAAATGAACTCGCACTCTTAGCTCCGACTTCATGACAATATTCGAATATAGTCTTTGTACAAATCCTCCAATTCTCTTCTATTCCTCGGTGATGAGATGACCTCGAAATCTTTCCTTGGAATTCAGGAGAATATTGCAATATAATTTTCTTATGAATTGTTGATTTATCTTCTCTTCACCGGTGAAGAATACCACTCGAAACCTCTCCTGCGAAGCGAGGAAAATATTTGAATCCAAAGTTATTATGAATTCTTCATTTCTCTTCTGTTCATCGATCATGAAATGAACTCGAAATGTTAGGTTGAAATTGGGGGGCTTGTTTGAATAGAATCCTCTTATGAATTCTTCATTTGTCTTGTGTTCATCGACCATAAAATGAACTCGAAATCTTACCTCGGAAATCAGGAGAATTTTACAAGAAAATCTTCCTATGAATGATTCACTTCACTTGTCTTCATCAATCATGAAATGAACTCGAAACTTTAGCTTGGAATTCAGGACAAAATTGCAAAATAATCTTCTTATGAATCCTTCATTTACCTTCTGTTCATCGGTGACGAATTGAACTGGAAATCTTTGCGACAAATTGAGGAGAATATTGGAGTATAATTTTGGTATGACTTGTTCATTTGTCGTGTGTTCATTGATGATGAAATACGGCCGAAATCTTTGCTGCGAAGCGAGGAAAATATTTGAAGAAAATCTTATTATGAATTCTTCATTAGTCTTGTGCTCAGGGATCATAAAATGAACTCAAAATCTTCGCTTGGAATTCAGGAGAATATTGCAATATAATTTTCTTATTAATTCTTCATTTCTCTCCTGTTCATCGGTGATGAAGTGAACTCCAAATATTCGCTTCAGATTCAGGAGAACATCTAAATACAATCTTCCTGAGACTGATTCATTGGTCCTGTGTGCATCTATCATGAAATCACCGCGAAATCTTCGCTTGAAATTCAGGAGAATTTTGGAATATAATCTTGGTATGAATTCTCCATTTGTCATCTGTTCATCGGTGATGAACTGAACTCGAAATGTTTGCTGCGAAGCGGAGAAAATATTTGAAACGACCTTCATATGAATTCTTCATTTGTCTTGTATTCATCGATCATGAAATGAGGTCGAAATCTTACATTGGAATTGAGAACAATTTTGGAATATAATCCTTATATGAATGCTTCATTTGTCTTCTGTTCATCTATGATGGACTGAACTCGAAATCTTTGCTGCGAGGTGAGGAAACTATTTCACTACAATGCTGTTCGGAATTCTCCATTTGTCTTGTATTCATCGATCATGAAATGAACTCGAAGTCTTACCATGGGATTGAGGAGCATATTGGAATGTAATCCTTTTATCAGTGCTTCATTTGTATTCCCTTGATGGGTGATGAACTGAACTCGAAATCTTTCCCGCGAAGTCAGGAAAATATTCGAAAAAAACGTTAGTATGAATTCTTCCTTTCTCTTGTGTTCATCGATCATGAAATGAACTCGCCGTGTTCGCTTGGAACTCATGAGAATATTGGAATATAATGTTGCTATGAATTCTCCATTTCTCTTCTGTTCATCGGTGATGAACTGAACTGGAAACTGTAGCTTGGAATTGAGGAGAATATTGGAATATAATCTTACTATGAATTCTTCATTTGTCTTCTATTCATCGATCATGAAATGAACTCGAAAGCTTAGCTTGGAATTGAGGAGAATATTTCAATAAAATATTTTTATCAATTCTTCATTTGTCTTCTGTTCGGCGGTCATTCAATGAACTCGAAAACTTAGCTTGGAATTGACGAGAATATTGGAATATATTCTTTATACGAATTCTTCATTTGTCTTACATTCATCGATCATGAAATGAACCCCAAATATTAGCTTGGAATTGAGGAGAATATTTCAATAAAATATTTTTATCAATTCTTCATGTGTCTTGTGTTCGGCGGTCATTGAATGAACTCGAAAATGTTAGCTTGGAATTGACGAGAATATTGGAATATAAGCTTGATATAAATTCTTCGTTTCTCTTGTGTTCATCCAAGATGAAATGAATTCGAAATCTTTCCGTCGAATTCAGGACAATATTGGAGTACAATCTTCCTATGAATTGTTCATTTGTCTTGTGTTCATCGATGATGAACTGAAGTGGAAATCTTACCTTGGAATTCAGGAGAATATCGGAATATAATCTTAATATGAACTCTTGATTTGCGTTCTGTTCAACGGTGATGAAGTGAAGTCCAGATCTTTCTGGGAAGTGAGGAAAATATTTGAATAAAATGTTGGTATGAATCCTTGATTTGTCTCGTCTTCATCGATGATGAAATGAACTCGAAATCTTAGCTTGATATTGAGGAGAATATTGGAATATAATCTTGGTGTGATTTCTTCATTTGACTTGTATTTATTGATCATGAAACGAACTCGTAATCTTAGCTTGGAATTGGGGTGCACGTTTGAATATATAAGGTTACTGTGAATTCTTCATTTGTCCTTTGTTCATTGATGATAAAATGAACTCGAAATCTTCTCTTAGAATTGAGGAGAATATCGCAACATAATCTTAATAGGAATTCTTCAGTTCTCTTGTGTTTATTGCTGATGAAATGAGCTCGGAATCTTAGCTAGGAATTGAGGAGAATATTGGAATATAATCTTGTTATGATTTCTTTAGTAGTCTCGTGCTGATCGATTATGAAAGGAACTGAAAATCTTAGCTATGAATTCCAGAGAATATTGGAATATAATCTTTTTATGAATTCTTCATTTGTCTTCTGTTCATCGGTGATGAACTGAACTGG